CAGTTGATCCCCAGCGGTCTGTGGACCCGGACCCGAGGCTCCCAGTTGATCCCCAGCGGTCTGTGGACCCGGACCCGAGGCTCCCAGTTGATCCCCAGCGGTCTGTGGACCCGGACCCGAGGCTCCCAGTTGACCCCCAGCGGTCTGTGGACCCGGACCCGAGGCTCCCAGTTGACCCCCAGCGGTCTGTGGACCCGGACCCGAGGCTCCCAGTTGATCCCCAGCGGTCTGCCCAGACGGTCCATGTCCTCCTGAAGGGACTCTGTAGATCCAGAACTGAGGACGGGTTGTGAGGAAACCTCCAGCGGACACACGAACACTCTCCCCCCGCTTTGACAGATGGACGTGACGTCCTGCTGTGAATCACGTGATCAACGTCACTGCTTCATTTTGCGTGTCGTTTTTCAAAGTAAAAGCACGACGATCTCTGTTGCTTCAGGGTCGCCAGTGGCGTGCACAAACATTTTGGGGGCAGGTGCTCAGGTGGAAAAAGAGGCCACCTTGTGGGGGTGCACAGAACTGCAGGCTGTAATGTGACATTTATTACAGATACATCTTGTATATTGTGCATATTTATGTACCGCATTTTAAATATTATTTTATTATTATTTACTATATGTTACGGTCACTTATCATGCAATAAAACAACCAGTATAAAAGAGACAATATTTATTATTACAAAATAAGAGGATGTGTATTTGCAAAAAAAAATAAATAAATAAATAAAATAAATGAAAAACAATAGAAAAAGAAAATCAAACTCTAAAAGGAGAGCAGGGTGCAGAGACAACTGCAAAAGACAAACACAAAAAATTTACCAAACTCCTATTGAATCTTTGCAATAAAAACCATTCAATTCAGTTAAAAATATACAAAGCCTACCTGCAGCGTCGACCGACCACACGCCCAGATAGCAATCGTCAGATTGAACATGAAGTGTGGCCCTATATAAAAACACCACACAAACACTGACTTACTATAATCAAATTAAAAGAGTTTTTTCTTTACAACAAAAAACAAACACACAAACCTGATCACAAGCAGTGGAAGGCGTGGGTCAACACACCTGGTCGAACACCAGAGATTGACAAATTGGCCACCAGCCGGACAGCCTCCCTTTTATGGGAGCTCACAATGTGGAGAAATTTATAAACAAATTAATATAATTCTTGAACTGAAGTCAGGGGCCACACAAAATCAGTTCAGGGGTCACAAATGGCCCCCGGGCCACACTTTGGACATCCCTGCTCTACAGGTTGGTTTCTGTAACAAACTGGTAAGCACATTTTGTTCTTTAAAAATAACCTCCTATAATAAAGTTTATTTTCACAAAGTTACTGATGGTTTGTTGTCTTGTGTGCAGATCTTCCTTCCCTCTGTCATCAGAGAGTTGTTTCTGTCCTCTGGATCCTAACATCTCAGCTTCATCTGGGTCCGACTCATGTTGTCCAACGACTCCATGTTCTGTCCTCCTGCAGAACAACACGCTGCCTCTCTCTTTATGTTGATTTGGGTGAAACTGCTTGGTGACAAAAGTCAGTGCAATAAATTACAACATTTCATCTAATCAGATTCTAAATTACTGTCAAAATATAACACTCTAACATGAGGGGGGCGGGGTCTAATTCACAAGGGGACCAGAATACTAAACTAGTTCAGGACAATTTCTGTCAATATTTATTAAAACAATGCTACATAACAAAGTATTCTTATAATACTAATTTTATTATCCAAATTATATTTTATGCTGCATTTAGAAAACACAGAACCTAACAAATAAAGATTAAATTAAAAAAATATCTCATCATTGGCATTCATTATTCCATGTTCAACATTAAAATGAAGAGAATACAAAAAAAAACACCTAAACCTGATTCTCTTTACACAATAAAGTCAAAGAGGACTGAAAAATGCAACCTTTATTTCATAATATTTGCCCTAATTATCATTACCAAATTTCCCTCTGGGATCAATAAAGTTTTTTTTGAATTAAATTGAATTACAGACAACAGGAAGTGAAGTTCAACTTCAGCATCTGAGGTTTAGTGGGTAAAAAGTGACCAGATTGTGTGGGACAAAGACACGTCACCAGTGTGTGTTTTTAATTACAGACACATTCATTCTTCTCTGCTTTGGCAGTTTTTGCACAACAATGTTTTTTAAAGGATTTTAAGAAAAAATGCATTTATTTTTTATCAAATATATTTTAAAAATTATCAGTAAAATATTTAGTTAAAAATATTAAAATTTTAACTTTTTTCAATTTTATCATAATGAAAAGAAAAACACAAATCCACAGACTGACAGACAGATTTCTGCAGGTTTCTTATGTGAATCTTTGTGTTGTTTCATGTTGTGTTTTCCTTTGGGAGAAAAATATTTTTTGATGATTTTCTGTCTGAGAATCCTGCATCTTTCATTGATCTCACCCACTCCAGTTAGTATTTTGCTACATTTTCATTTTTATTTTTTACGTAGTTTCCATCACATTCTGCATAAATTAGATTTGTTTTCTGGTGCAGTGTTTAGATATTTATTTTTTAACACAGTGGCTGCAAAGTTATACCACTGACGAACATGTTGCACCCTTCAATACTGGCAAAGTCTGCAAATATCAGAACTGATGTTCTGTCTGACAACCTTTGAAACGTGTCAAAGAACACGTGGCAGATGTGGAGTTGTGTGATGACAATGACCACATTGCTGGACTCTTGGCTTTCTCAGCCAAAACAAGACACAAGAGGCAGAACGGCAGCTGAAACCAGGATGTTCTGCACTGGTTGTTAGCAGTGAAGGTATTCAGCTGCAGGATTCATCAGATGCAGGAGAAGGCACCAGTAGTCCTTACGAGTTTTTATTATTTATTCTGTCATCTCCTTTTGACATATTTGTACAGCTGTATTTCAGCTGCTGGTGTTATATGTGGTTTTCTGAAAAAAATCCTACTAGTTATAAGCGAACTGTGTTCTCTGCTGGATGCAACAGTGGACCAGAAGAGAAAAAGCTACAATACCACAGCAGATGCTGTTGTAGAAGTGGATCTTGCTGAAATCAGCATGAGGATGAATGAAGATCCACTGGAGAACTGGCACACACAGAAACATGTGCACCCCCACTTGTACCGGATGGCATTGACATTCCTTTGTTCACCAGCATCATCAGTTGTGAAAGAGGTTTTTTCAAGGCGGGGGAGGTCATCTGCCAACAAAGAAACCGTCTAAAGCACTGGTTCTTAATCTTTTTGACCTCGGGGACCAATTTGTAGAAGATAAAGTGTCACGAGGCCCAGTCAGAGTTTAGTTAAATAAGATTTATACACAGAAAAACACATAACTGATATCATACTGAAGGAGAAAAGACATCTGTCCTCTTTTCTCCTGTAACTTTGATAAACATTCTCTGATTATCAAAAATGCGTAAAACTTTCAGTTAAAAGAACAATAAATCAAATAAGAAGAAGATTATTCTGTTTATTATCTGATTAAAAAAGAGAATGTCTCTTTGACAAGTTAAGGCGACCTGAGGTGGCCTAGATTCAGTTCTAAGTGGAACAGAGTTTTTGTCTCTTTAAAGGCCCATCACAGGACTGAGAGTCTGAGACAGTTTCCTTGATTATTTCACTCCAGGTGACCCCTACACCACAATCCAGAAATGTTCATATTTTTGTTTGATCAAGAAAGACACATCAGCCTCACACAATAAAAACTGACTGAAAGCAGATGGAAGAGTGAAATTCTGTGTGTAACTTAAAGGATCAGAACCAGAAAACCTGGAAAAATATTTTAAATAAATTTAGTTTCAAGTCACAAAGCGTAGTGTATCTTCCCCAACAAGCACTCCAATCCCAAGACACTAAAGTACCGGATCTCTTTATCAAATCAGTCCATGACAAAAAAAAAAGGCACAACTACAACTAGTCAACATGTTTGCAGGATTATTTTGAGTACAAATTATTCAGAACTACAAAGAGATGACTGTTAAAAATGGTTTGGGCAACAATGCTGGCCCAGTTTCAGTTCACCAGCAGATGTCACTAGTGAGCAATGAATGAACTTTTGAGCCTTCATGAGGCTTCATTTGACCATCACTACGCAGTGATCTTCAAACGTGACGTCACGTGACCCGGGTGTACTCTGCACTAAGCTAATGCTAATGCTAGAATGTAGCACCGTGCAAACAAACAGTTAATAAATGTATAAATGACACAAATACTTTTCTGCAGAAAATGTTACAAGTTTACATGAGCAAAAGGAATTATGTTTCACACGTAAATATTTAACCAAAATTAATTATTTTATCTGTAAAACCTCTAAGTTAACATTTAAAAAGCTTCAGTGTTCATGGTTAAAGTTTTTTAGTTGATTATCTGTTGTTAAATTAATAATTTTCTGATATTAAACAAGTAAAAGAGAAATTTAATAGATGATTGACTTGTTAGACTGCATACTAATTCAAAAAAATATGATGTTGCTAATGACAGTAATGACTGAGCATCATAGACATAAAATACAGCTGCTGTCCAGTTGTTGTCAGACAGGCCGGTTTGTTCAGATATTAGGTTTTTTTACACACAGCATATGGGTTTTTCCACATTTCCAGACAAAAAGAAGAAAGAAAGCAGCTGTGGGTCGGTGTCAGATACACACTTCATCAATATGAAGCTGAAGAATAATTCATTGTAATAAAAATAAATTCATTAAACGATTCTTTGTGACCTGAAATAATTTATTGTTTTAACCAGTGTTAAAATTATTGTAACTTACAGCAAAAACTATTGTAAACTGACATAAAACTATCATAAAACTACTATTACTCATTAAACTGACAGAAAATATGATAACTGTGGGTTAAAAACTAAAACCCTCCCCTTCAAAGTATAAAAAATAAAACTACAGCTGATGTCTGTAGGTTTTGTCATGGGAACAACAATAAACTTTGCAAACCAAAACATTTACCACATGTTTCACAAAAACATTCCCAGGTGGGATTGCAAACATTGTTTTCATCAATAATGTTCCACAGGATTCCCACGGATCTGGCCTCTCTCCTGTGTGAACATCTGTCACAAACATCTTACTTCTGTTTGGTGTCTCTTCATGTGGTACATCAAACCTTGTTTAGAACAGTAACTTTTCTCACATTGACCACACAGATACGGTTTCTCACCCGTGTGAGTTTTCATGTGTGTGATTAAGGTCCCCTTTGCAGCAAATTGTCTCCCACATGTTTTACAAGAATGTGGTTTTTCACCAGTGTGGACCAAGATATGAAACTTTATAGGTTTTCCCCGGTGTGGATTCTCATGTGGTTGTTTAATTTCTCCCGAGTTCTGTAACGTTTCCCACAAAGTTTACATCAAAATGGCTTCTCTGTGTGAATGGACTGATGCTTGTTTAATGCCGACGTGCTCGAATAATTTTTCCCACAAATTTTACAAACATACCCCTCACCTGTGTGGCTCTTTTTGTGGACATGTAAGTGACCACTACTGTAGTAACTTTTCCCACGTGTCACAGGAAAATGGTCTCTCACTAGTGTGCATTCTCGTGTGGATTGGTAAGTAATCATTTGCTTTGAACCTTTTTCCACAGAGCTGACAGACATATGGTTTCACACCTGTGTGGACAGTGTGATGTCTGTTTTGGTGGTATTTATTCTTAAAACTTTTCCCACATTTGTCACATTGAAAAGACTCCAGATCTGTGTCAGGGTTAGTCTCAGTCTCTGAGGTGGAAGAGATGTCTGGATCAGTGCTGGAACAAGTCAAGAGGACTGGGTCTTTGTCTTTGTCTGGTTCCCTCAAATCACTTTTCTCAATACAGCTTGTCATCATTGAGGTTGTGGTTCCCTGCTTCAGTTCAAGCTGATCTTCATCCTGACCGATAGAGAGATCATCCTCTTCCTCTTTAACCCGCTAAGGTTCTGGTTCTTCTTTAATCCGTGGAGGTTGCTTCTCATGAACGGGAATGTTTCAGCAGACATGTTGGTGGTCTGGACGAAAAAGAAGAAAAATGAAAG